TATCCTTGTTCTTTTCACGCGGTCGGACATGATATTGCAAGCACTGTATATGAAATCTGTAATACTTGTATTTTTTAATAAAGTTTAAAATTTGATAAACTTAAAAGTGAAATATTTATTGCACCATTACAATTTGAAATATGTATGTCAATTAGCTGGGTCAGGAGCTGGAGGGTAACACTGAAAACTATCTTTTTTTGCAAAATTTCAATTCAAATTCTGCTTAAGCAGAAATTGTCTCCTTAATGCCATTATATAAATTTGGTGTGGGTCAAAAGTCAAATAACAGACATCTGTATAACCAAAACCCAGCACCCGCCACGGTCACAAACAAGTTAATTAATAGTAACAAATTTTACATTGTGCCAACGTTAAAAATCTAACGCCACAATCTAACGTTACGTGTACGTAATGGATTCTATTGGATTAACGTCACAAGTTCCGTTGCAGTGACAATAAAATGTAACATTGTGTTAACGTTAAGCTGTACCGTTAAATTGTAACGTTAGTAGGGCGGACATTAAACATCACTGACACGTTGATGCAGCGTTTATGTGATCAGCCTTGTAACGTTACACGGTAATTGGTAACATCACAGTAACGTTAATGCAATGGTATTTTGCCTAGTGGGAAGTTATGTGGGTTATTATACTATTAGGGCTCTCTGCCATTTGTCAGTTGTCCCTAACAGATTTATAAATAGGAAACTTAAAATAACAAAAATGAATAGAAATTTTTTTCTAATTTTAATTAAGGTTGAAAGTTAGCACCACACTCTAAAAACTCATGCCCCATAATATTGCAATAGTGAAAACTTGAAAATATTTCATAGGTTTTGTATGAAACAAAATTCTAAAATTAAAATAAAATAACAAATAAGTAGCTTCTCAGTACTAATAAAGAATGTGATAAAATGTCTGTAAATAATTTTTTAAGCGTGACCAAACCTTGTGTCACAAACCGCCTAGATAAAAACAGCGTTGTTATAAAATACACTGGATAGCCCGCTGCATGCAATGGTATCGCCATTGTTATTTTGCGCGTTACAAACAAGCAGCTTGTGTTTTTGAAGGTTATCTTTGAGTACATTTTATTAAACGGAAACGTTTGCCGCATATTATGACACAAGATTAATATTTTTTCAGCGTGAAAAACACATACAAAATTTCAATTGTTTATAATAAATGTATGCAAAATTATTTTATTTAAACAAATTAACCTTAATTAAATGATCATTATATAGTCTAAACATTTCTACAATAGTGTGTAAAATTTAATTCAATTATACATAGTGGTTCCAGAGATTCTATTTTTTAAATTTTACCGTGCTCTAAAGTTTGACAAAATTGTCAACCTTAATAACATTACCAAAAAAACGAATTTTAAAACAATTTTTTTACTGTGACATATGAGTCATGCCTACTACACAATTATGTGATTATTTTCAAAATCGGTGATTTCGTGAAATTTTCTGGTCCCACTTGACGTGGTTTGACTCATATGATATAAATGATGTAAGAATACTTATCCAAATAACCGTTGAATCCGAATATTAAAGGACCGGAATCAATCTGTTAATTCGAATACGGATTCGGAATCAAAATGGACGAAAATAAATTCCGCTGCATTCCTTTAAGCCGCGGCACCCGCCTGCAGCGTTGCTAACTACCGATTTAACGGTAGATCTAAAGATTTTAAATACGAAGTAACGACTTTTCAGTAATTAACTGCATATGTTAAACATTTTCCTGTTATTTCCTTTCTCCTCTAAAATTATGACAAATAAGGAATATAATCGTTATAAATTTATAAAAGAACGCTCTTTAAAGTTTAAACAGAAATTATTTTTCTTGAATATTTTGCATGTAACAACGCGCATGTACTGCCGCCTAGCGGCGTTAAACTACCAGATACATGACCTCAAATATTTTACTGTATTCCTTATTCAAACGTCAAAGTGGGGCTTTTTTATTTGGAGCATAGTACCTACATCAACAACATGGATTCGACAATTGGAATCGGGAAATGTTGCATAATTGGTTGCGGTAGAAGATATTTAATTGCTACATTTACACTCTGCTTTGCTAACGTCAACTTGGCAAAGAAACCAGCAAAAAAATTATCGTATCTTACACATTGTGAACCGCATATAACTACCTAGTTGCTTGCAGATTATGCCTATTAATAATTTTTAGCTATTAAAAACGATGAAGTGTGCTAACTTGACGTCAACTTGGTAAACTGCACAGGAATTAGTTGATAATTAGTTGCTTGCAGATTATCCTCATAATTTTTTTTAGTTTAATATAGAATTTGCCCAAGCGTTTTTATATTAAACTTATTATGCTCAGGCACTGACCAAGCCTGTCTGAGCTACTTATAAAACCTTCATGATAACTTAAGTAATGATAATTATCAATGATAAGTTTGCTTAATATTCAATTATTAAATTTAGAAATTTTGTTAAGTTATGTTTCTTACCGAAAATAAATTAAAATAACCTGTAAAAAATTATGTTACATTTTTTTCACTTATTTTATTAAATTATCTACCTTTGATTTATTTTAAAACAGTTTCATTATAAATTGAGTGGAAAAATAGGGACTTAAAAGTAAAATATTAAAATATTGTGGTTAAATAAAATTTTACTTTTAATATAATTTTATCCGCTTTTATACTCATGTTTTAAGTCTTATAGTGTAATAAAATGAAATACAATCAATACAATCAAATTATTAAAATCAAATAAAAATCTAATAAAGTTTATTTAGGTAACTTACATCTATCTCATCTGTTGCATCCATGTCACTCTCAGAAAGAACATTATTTTGAATCCTCTTTTTCCTTTTTTTAGCCAAATAAGCCCTGTAAGCGTCAGACTGCCTGTATGTTTTTAACTCTTCCCTGTACCGCTTTTTATCTTCTTCAGCTTTATCCAAGTAGGGTTTCTTTTCAACCAATGTTAAGCTGGACCATTTGTTACCAATAATCTTGGTAACTTCATGGAACGGCAGGGAACTGTCTTTAAATAGTTTTCTTTGTTCATTTAAATAGAGAGTATAACCAGTGGCAGGGGCTTTAGGTGGTAGGTTCAGGAGTTCTGGTTTTCTCTTACGACCTTTGGGCCACCCACCTCTGCCTTTCTTGGGTTTATCCACAGCTATTGGTTTTGTGGGTTCTACCAATCTTATTGCAACATTAACATTTTCCAAAGGGTTTAATATAACAATATTAGGCTTAATATCTTCATTGTTTAAAGAACTAGCTATAGTTTTAGGCTTATTTGCAATATTATCTATTTGGTGTTCATAGTTAAATATCCCTGGATGAAAGTCAATATTTACATTAGGAAAACATAGGGATTTTGATACACTGGAAGATGAAGTTGTTGTACTTATATCACTACATTCGCTGGAAAATCCATCGCTATCAAAGTTTGATATTGGTCGAGGTAAAATTTTGTCTTTGTTGGTTATTTCCTGCTGCGATATTAGTTGGGCAGCGACGTTTCGTAAGTCTTCAGCTGACAGATTTAAATTTGATGATAGGGCATCATTTAGACTCATGCAAACCAACCTAAAATTATAACTTTTTATTTATTTATACAATCAAAATTGTATGTGCTTACCCTTTGCTAGTCTCCACTAAAATTCCATTTCTTAGCAGATTATTAGCTTCATCTGTAGTTTCATAATCCATAACTTCATCTTTGATTTTAATTTTTACATTACTATTGGTATTCATTATAATAAACAAATACAGCAAAAATAATAAAAAACTAATTGTTTCACAAAAACTTCTCTACCTCATGGTTTCTAAAAACATGTAAAAAATTTACTAAAAATACAATTTTTACAAAATATGAAATTTTGCTCATGGAAAAAATTTCCAATCATAAAATGTCAAGGTCAGAAAACCGTGGCATAAAAATTTATAGAAAACATTTACAATTAATATACCTAATTTGTTACATTATTTTATTATGTTAAACATTGTTTAATAAACAATCAAACCTCACAATCGAATTGGAACATGTAAAAATACCACCAAATAAAAAAGAAAGTGTCTACTAAACAGCCGGCGGTATATTTGTTAAAACCGCCGCGGCGATGATAAGAATAGTATATTCTGTAACAAGTTTGGAATACGGCATTTTCCGCCGGAGTGAATAGTTTGCCACACGAGCCGAAGGCGAGTTTGACGGTTTCACGAGAGCGGAACATGCAATTCCAAACGTGTTTCAGACTATACTTTTTCTACGTTTCCAAAAAATAAAATAGAAAAATAATATACCTAATTGGGATAACGTGAAGTTGGATCGTTCTAAAAATTGTTAGATTTTAAAAACAGAGATGTCGCCACCAATGTTTATTCTGTCATCCTATGATAAAATAATTCATTCTGTAATACTTTAAGCCTAATATTACGTTTTAATGTGGAATGCCATACATTCCTTAAAGTTTAAGGAATATATGTCATTCTACATTAAAAAGTGATATTAGAACGGTCATATTAATGACTGAGTATTTTTATCATGGAGCCCGAACTTAATAGGAAAAATTGACAAAATCTGACCTATAATGATGCTAATTATTTTTATATTACACAAAACATATTAATTAATAATATTTTAAGTACTTACCTAGTTGGGTTGGGTTGTAGTTTTAATGCCCGAGCTTTTTTTTTGTTAAACAAAATTTAATTTAAGGTTTTATAAGACAGGTTTGGTTGGTGGCTGAGCTATTTATAAAACCTTATTATTAAATTAAGTTATAATTCCCTGAATGTTCATTTATATCAACAGCAGAGCGCTCTCTTAGCATGCGAGAGGTACCAGTATCAATGCTCGGCGCCTCCACAACTTTTTTAATATTTTTTACTAATTTAAATTTAAAAATATAAAACATGGCAGCGGCGGATTTCTAACAATTTATTAATATACCGCCGGCGGTTTAGTAGCTTCTTCCAATAACAAATGCGTCTTAAAATTGGAGAAGAAGAAGAAAAATAGGGTTAAGAATAACATAACCTTAAATTTATGTGCAATACAAATGTCATTATCATAGAAAAATGATATAATCATAAATTCAAAATGTTTCGAAGTAGTGTTTTACTATTAAGACGTTGCCAAAATCTTAATTTAACTGATATTTATCTAAGAAATAATGGACTTTCCATTGCCAATAAATTTTTAAAAACTCAAAATTATTGCAACCAAATTTATTTAGAAAATAAGTTAGGAAGTGCTAATGAAGAGAAACAATCAGTTCCTTTGGGCAAATTGGATGGAAAATTATATTTAGGATTCACATGCAAAGTTTGCAACACAAGAAACGCTAAATACATTACAAAAGTAGCTTATGAAAAAGGTGTGGTTATTGTTAAATGCACAGGCTGTGATAATAATCATTTAATAGCCGATAATTTAAAATGGTTTACTGATTTAAATGGAAAAAGAAATATAGAAGAGATTTTAAATGAAAAAGGGGAAACTGTACAAAAAATTAGTATGGGTGATTGTATAGAAGCTATAAAAAAATAAATGTTTTTAGGTAATATTGTTTTTTTTATTTTTAAATTTGTAAATAAAAACCTTTTATTATAATTTTATTGTTTATTATTAAATAGTATAAAACTTAACTTATGGAAATTGTATAATAACAATTGGTCAAATATAACACAGTGCAACACACAGAACATAAGGATGTGGGTCCAGACATAACTTTTTATTATATGTCTCATTAAAATCTTCCATTATTAAACAAGCTTTCATAATCCCTCAAAATAAACATTAAAATTGATCAAGTTACAACAAAATTAGGTAGTTTGTTTCTAATAATTGTGTAGTATACAGTAAAAAAATCAGCACAAACAAACTAGTCTTTGTATACAAACCATGCTGACGTCGACATTCAAGAATGCCTATAATAATTAAATCATTGCAAATTAAGATAAATTTTATCTTTGTTGGCTATACTGTCTGTTCAGGCCACAGACCACCAAAACAAATGGACGGCGCATTGCCATTCAATAACAATGATTTGTTTGCGGTCAACAAACGGTCACAGTCTAAGCGTCAAATTGGAGAGTAAAAAATAATGTATTTAAACTCCATAATTAACTTAAACACGATAGAAATACACAAACGAAAACACAAAACAACAAGCTGTCAACCCACAGAACATAACCTTTTTCTATGCTGTCAAATATACCAACGTTGTTATAATATTTAATTTTAATAATTATTAAATGATTTACTTTCTTTAAATAGAGAAAAATATCTAAAGAAAATGATGAACAAATCCTTTTTACAATTTTTTTATTATTCAAACGAATTACTGGTAATTATTAATGTTCATTATGTTTGATGAACGTCCAAAAAGGCGTGTAATCTATACTTCAGACAACGTTGGAAGCCGTGTTTCTTTCGACGGTGTTTAGAATGTGAAACTATGCTTTACTCGCTTTTTAAACGTAAACAAATCCGTCCATTTGTTTTGGTGGTCTGTGGTTCAGGCTAAGTTGAGCGTTCTAAGGAATGTCACCCCGTCCATCATCTCTATGTTCAGGCTAGAGATGCGACTTGAAAAAAAACGGTCCGTTTTTTTTTGTTTTTTTTTCAAATGGTTTTTTTTCATGTTTTAGGTTTTTTTTTCAAGATTAGTCCCATTTGCCTAATTTTGTATGTTTCCAGTCCAGTTCGTGGACTAAAATTAGCCTCTAAATGACATTTAGTAAATGTAAATACAGTCTCGCGCTTTGCACGCGCCACCACCACCGAATTGACCAATAAGGGCCACGCTTGTTTTGATTTGGTCCTAAAAAAAGTAACTACCTATAATATTTTTGATTCAGCGCTTGATTTTTCAAAAAGCTACCAAAAGCACTTTTTATTAATGATTTTTCAAATTCATGTAGAGTATGGAAATTTGTTTTCAAAAAAAAACAATAGCAAATTTTTGTAGAACATTTATTCATTGGTGGTCAGAACATTCCGTGGACCAAAAAAAAAGCCAAAAAAAAAATTTTTTTATTACGGTTTTTGTTAGGATTGAGCGTTGCACGTTTTTCATCTAAAAATCTCAAAACTAGAAACTTCAAATTGCTTTTTTTACGGATCCAATACGACCATTTTTAACGAAGATACCGCTATCCGAAAAATCGCAAAAAACTTGGAATTTTTTTTCTATTAGTGTAGAAGTTTTACATTGCTATTGGTTTCTTGTGGAAACTACCAAATAATAAGAAATCAGATTTTTTAGTCTCTGTCAAAATTTTCAATAATGAAAAATGTAATATATTCTACATTTCACTTTATTATTAATATAAATTTTACTCTAAATTTCATTTTGAAAAAAATACTCCATTTTTTAAGATTGATGTTATTTATTGACAGAATATGCTTTATGGCAGCGGACTTGTAAAAAAACAAAAAAACCGTTTCTTTTTCTAGTTTTTTTTCACATCTGAAAAAAACCGTTTTTTACATCTCTAGTTCAGGCACAATTAAATACATGTATTTCGGTAGCCGCTTTGTACGAACAAACGGCAAGCCGCGGCACTGATAATCATCTTCTTGTTACCGAAATCTCGCGACGATTCGATATTTAATTTAATCAACTTATTAACAATTTATTATTGCTTATTGTTTAAATTACAAGCAAATATATGTTAATTAAACAAATAAATACATTTTACTAATTTTTTGTATGCCTTTTATTGATTTTTAAGCATATCTTAAGCCTTGGTTTTTTTATTATTTTTTAAGCCTAATTCATAAATTTTTCAAAAAAATTACCTGCTTTTTAAGCGCTTATTTTAGTTTTCTTCAAGCTTTTTATTCCAGGCTTTATTTATTAGGTACTACAGTACATCTAGGCAGTATACTGCCTAGGTGTACTATATAATTTTTTTATTATTAACTATTCCTTCCCTCCACCCCTAACATTTAGATTCTAGTCAGGGGGCTCCAAGAATTAAATTTGCCCCAGGCCCCCTATACCCTCTCGGCGGCCCCACCAAAGCGCTCAACTTAGCCTGAATGGACTGTACTGTTAACCCATTTAGGATAGAATTATTTTTTAGGATTCTTTGGTAATTAAAAAATGGCATTTTAGTTTTGACAACACAGCATGTCGACATTTTTATCAACATGAACGTCAAGATCCTGGAATGCCTCTAATAACAATAACTCGGATTAATTTAGCTTTATCCTTTACTCATATTACAAATGGATAACGCTTATTGAAAAGGAACCAAGCGCCAAAAAGTTTTTCTGGGCTTGGTAAAATTGTTTGTAAATTAACTCATTTTTAATGATACTCAAATGATTGATCATCATTTCAAACTTTTCTCAAAAGTATTGAGAGGGTTCCCAAATCATTATTAATTAAAATTAGTTATTTTGGAGCTTGGTTCCTTCTCGATAAACGCTATCCAAGTATAATCATACTTATTTATATATTTTTTTATCGATACACGGCATTTAGGTTTTGTTGGCACAGCATGTCAAACTGACATGATGACTGACGATTAAAATGCTGGGCCGTTAAGTGATAGAATCTGATGTCGACATTTTTATTAACATTTTCGCAGGCATGGTTTTTAGAGAAGCATTCAGTGTTGCCAATATCCTGATAATTATCGAAACCTACCATGGTTGTGTTCCGTAATTTACTGCCATTACTATCAGTAATTTTACTGTCAGTAGCGGAAAAGGACCGTTCCGTAATTTATTCAGTACTGACGCAACAGTGAAATAGAAACGCGCCTCAGTAGCAGCAGAAAATTACGACATTTTATCATTGTACAATGGCTACGCAAGGTTATGTTTTGTGATTTACTGACATTTGACAAACTTATGGAAAATAAAATGTTATATACATTTTTGGACGCGGACGACGATAATAGGAAATATAAAATTTCACTGACACTACAACTATACGCCAAATACCGAAAATGACTCTTAAATTTGTCCGCTGAATACAAATATACAACATTTTCTAGGTAGTTTAATATTTTGGGTCTTCGTATGCGTACTCCCCGGCGACCTGCCCGCCATCCTCCTTTAAGATGTACTGGCAGAGCTAGAAAAACTTAAGGCAGAAGGGAAAACCAATCTAATTATTAAATACATAAATGGAACACCTAAAATAATTAAAAAAACTGAAAAAAACTAAACTTGTCTGGGGTGGTCGAGGTATCATTTTGGTATAGTAACCTGAGTTCAGTGGTTAACAAAATTGACGAATGGAAAGCAAGAATTTTGTCAGCAAATCCCACTTTCATAATGCTCACAGAAACCTGGTTAAAAGAAAGCATGAGCGATAGCTTGATACACATAGAAGGATATAGCACATACCGCGAAGACCGCCAAAATCAAAAAGGAGGTGGTGTATGTATCCTAGCCAAAAACGAAATTAATGGATATAAAATTAGTAGCAGTATTTCAAGCAATTATAAGTTCCAAGCACCAATTGATGCAGTATGGCTTGATATCCAAATAGAAAAAATAAATGTATCTCTTGCTTGTATTTATAGGCCAGGAACTACGACAAGTGATGAAGCCAACACTCACATGATAAATAACATAAAAAATGCTTATACCCTTAAACACCCAACAATTATTGTATGAGACCTCAACTACCCAAACATTAATTGGAAAAACCTTTCAATCACACCATCAGACAAGAAATCAGAGGAGTTTATGGACATGTACCAAGAAATAGGCATTCGACAAGTCATAGATTTCCCAACAAGATATAGGAACAACCAAAGTTCTCTTTTAGACCTCTTTTTAACCAACGACCCCAAAAGCCTCTTCGATCTTTGCTCAGAACCACCCATTGGCCGTAGTGACCATGTTGTAATAAAAGCAAAAACTCAATTAAAAATTCCACCAAAGCAAACGCATAAAATTATAAGAAAAAACTTCTATACTGCAAACTATGATAAAATCAACAAATTCATTCAACGGCAACCAGTGAGAAATGAAAAACCCATATTCGAGAACTTTGATTGTATTCTAAAGGGTGCAATTGAACAATACATACCCTCCAAGCCTGTAAGAATAAATCCACAAAAACCATGGATCAATCAACAAGTGATGAAAGAAATTAACAAAAAACGTAAACTATGGGACATATACAAAACAAACACAACACAGGACAACTATCAAGCCTACATGAGTCAAAACAATACAGCAAAGCAAATATTAGCTGAATCTAGGAGAAAATTTGAAAATGGTCTAGTAAAAACATCTTCACCTAAGAAACTCTTCAGATACATAAACCGTAACTTAAACTCGAAAGTATCAAACATAACCTTAAAAGACCCAACATCCCAGCAGTTTCTAGACAGTAAATCCATGTCAGAAAAATTTGCAGAGTAGTTCGACACAGCCTTTACAAATGAAGCATATCCCATCACAGCCCTACCTGACCATAGTAGAGTGGAAAACTCGATCGAAACTGTGAATTTTACAACCAACCAATAAAATCAAAGAAACACTTAAAAGTATGAAAAAAGACTCAAGTCCTGGACCAGACAAAATTCCAACAGTTTTTCTTCAAAATTGTAGCAGTTCAGTGAGTCCTTTACTCGCAGAGGTAATGAGGGAATGTTTGGACCAAGGAAAGATCCCAGAACTATGGAAATATTCAATTGTCACGCCACTATACAAGAAAGGAGATCGACACAGACCAGAAAACTACCGGCCTATCAGCCTTATATGCAACCCTCTAAAATGCATGGAAAAAATCATAGTCAAAGAATTGATATCGTTTTTCCTGGAAAATAACCTTATACCCTCTCCCCAACATGGATTCCTACCAAAGCGTTCAACAACAACCAACCTTTTAGAATGTTTAAATGACTGGACAAAAAACCATGACAACGATCAACCAACAGACGTAATCTATCTCGACTATGAAAAAGCATTTGATAAAGTCCCACATAACCTTTTAATAGCAAAAATAGAACACTATGGAGTCAGAGGAAAGCTACTTGCCTTGATTAAAGAATTGCTTGACGAAAGGTATTATCAAGTTATAGTTAACGGAGAACTTTCCAGCCCCCACAAAGTGAGGAGTGGCGTTGTCCAAGGATCAGTCATTGGCCCAGTTCTGTTTACAGCATTCCTTTTCGATCTGGTTAAATGTACAAAGTCAGCCACTAAACTGTTTGCAGATGACTGCAAAATATACGCAAATCCTATAACCAGCTCAGACCAACTCCAGGCAGACCTGCAGAATATCGAAATTTGGTCGAAAAGATGGGGCATGAAACTTAACGCCTCTAAATGCACAGTACTAAGGATCGGTCCAAACAACCCTAACAATAGATATATTCTAAATAATTCCACCCTGATATCAGTAAACGAACAAAACGATCTTGGGGTTCTAATGACTTCAGATTTAAAGTGGGATAGCCAAATAACCAAAATCTGTAAAAAAACAAATTCCTTTGTCTATTTGATAAACCAAGCTTTCAAAGATCACTCTATTAAAATGATATCCACGTTGTACAAAACCTACATAAGACCCAAAATCGAATACGCTTTCACTGTGTGGAACCCATATTATGTGAAAGATATCGAACTCCTAGAGAAAATACAAGGTAAAGTGACTAAAATTCCGCTAGAGTTAAAACATATGCCTTATCCAGAGAGATTAATTAAATTCAACTTGACATCTCTTAGAGAGCGAATACATAGAGGCGATTTAATCGAGACTTTTAAAATTACTGGCGGTTACTACCAATGTGATGTCAGAAACATTTTCCACCCCAGTCAAAACCTCCATCTACGTGGACATTCAAAAAAACTTGAAAAAGAACGATCAGCCAAGCTCCCCAGAAAAAACTTCATCGTGAACCGAATAGTCCATTCTTGGAATTCTTTGAAACAAGAAACAGTGTCGGCCTCGAACACGAATGTTTTTAAAAATCGCATCGATATTGAGCTAAAGCAGAACGCAGAACGAATTGTTCATTACGGCATGTAAGCAGAGTCGAAAAAACCTGTTTCAACTCTAAAGAAGTAACAATAGCTTCATCGGTTTAACCGCCTGCTATTGTCAACCATATTATTATTATTATTATTATTATAATTAACTCGTCTCCTTCGTCACTGCTGCTTGTACTTTTAAGTATTATTTCAATAATAATTATTGAAATAATTAGTTCTAGCTCTTCACCAAATACCGTTATATCACTTTATTTGACAGCTATTTTTTATATTTAAAAGTGTGGTTAGGTATGTGCTTTACTGGAGCCACAGCACCTCTGTCACCAGTTGTTTCAGTAAAATTAATCTGCCGTAAATATATAAAAGGGTAGTATTTACTACCGAGCTCAGTAACTGAAAGTGGATTTCAGAATGTGCTTTCAGTACTGACAGTAAATTACGGAACACAACCCATATCTACCAATTTTTACTACCATTGAATAATCAATAATGACAAGCTAATCTACCATAATTCACCAGCACAGTGAATGGAATATTGCTTAGTTCTCAATTCAAATTTTATATAAAAATTAAACAGAGGCTTGTAAAGATGACGTAGGTGCAATTATTATTTAATACTATTTATAATATATAGTTTTTTCTATTTGAATACAGTTAATTTTTTTGTTTTTTTGTTTTTTAGAAAATACATTGGGGTTTTGGCCTCCAATACTAGTACTATTGACCCATCCAGACCACATCCAGATAATTTTTTATGAATCCAACATTGTTGCACAGTGTAAATTTACAAAAATACATTATAAAAATTTATACTTTAATTATAAGGTTTGCATATAAAGTACAAGATTTCAAATTAATGTATAAAATAAGGCACAAATTTATTGGCATTTTCTTAGTATAAAGATATCAAAAAATATTTTATTTATGCAAGGAGTGCTACTATTATCATAAATATAAAAACAATGTTTTTAAAATATAAGTTGTATAGGTTTTAAGTTATAGTCATAATTTCTCAGCTGTGAAAGTTTAAACCCCTTGTAAGGCAGAAAAAATTAATGAAATATATTTTTTATAACAGACTTTAAGTATCTTATTTTAAGTTAATTTTTTTTTCCTGCATACGTTAAAATGACTAGACATTTTTGCTTTTGCTTATTACAGCGTATGGTTCATTATTGTAAATTTTATGGTTAATGTCTCTTTGAGTGTTCAGCTTAGAATTTTGAGGTTGCACATTAAATACCGGCAATGTACTTTTGCTGGTGCTATCTTTTCTTACTAAAGCGTAACCCAAATAAGAATCATCTGCAACTCTTACTCCTTGCAAACATGTTTCCACTTCGTCATAATCATTAAAAGATATCGGTTCAGAGACTGGTGGTATGGGTGGGGGGTTAACCTGGTTGTAACTGGAATTAAGTTTAGTGTTTGACCCAAAAAATTGTAAAGTATTATAACTGTTAATTTCGGTGGGTTTTTGCGTTACTATTTTAGGTCCAACGGTGTTTATCGAAGATGTTGAAACTGATTTTGATTTTTTATGTTTGTACCACGTTGTGTACAATTCTTCCTTTTCGCTGTGGTTAACATCATCTACTCCCATTGTGCGCCAAGCGTAATTCCTGCATTCTACTTCGTCGTAACGGTCAATTGGCTCATAATCCGGGATATTATCTGGCACTGGTTTGCTTTCTTTTACTTTTCGAGGGGGTTTTGACGGAATCACGCGGTTTTCCAACATTGTATCCGTCAAATTTATTGAGCTGGCAGTGGATAAAGATACAGGATCCCTGGACCTTGCTTTCTTTGATATTCCGGTAAGAAAATCGGAATCAGCACTTATAGGGCTTAGGCCTGGTTCAGTCATAGTTTGCTTCATAGACTTCATTTTTAATGCAACAGATCTACAAAAAAAATATATATATATAAATAGTTAATACTAAAGATCTCGGAAAAGCGTGTCCCGAGAGTTATAAAGTTATAAAGTTATAAAGTGCTCTTTTAGTTCCACCCTTACATCCAAACTAAGATGTCCCATAAGCCAACTGAATGGCTTGTGCGGGTTAGGGGTAGGAACGGACCGACGGCTTAAAGTCCCCTCCGAAGGACTATACACAATGGACAAACACAAATAAACAACCATACCCAAGTGGGATTCGAACCCACGACCTCTCGGCTCGTACCCAATCAAAATCAAAATCAATATATTTCTAAATTAAAATAATTACAAGTCATAAAAAGGGTATATAACAAAAGGCCGCAATGTGGTGATGTGGTTGGCTGTAAAGAGGCGCGTGGAAGTGTGGTTCCAACTCTTGAGCCTCCCTGCGGTGAAGATACGTGGTACGGGTGGTAGCAGCGCAGTCTTCCGACGGTCTTTGTCCCTTGTATTGGCCCTTTTTATTAGCATGGAGCTTGTCTGGCCTTTTCTCGCAGAGCGAATGTGAGGCCAGCTTGATCCGGGTAGAAGAATAAAGTCTAGAAAAATTTACGGAAAAAAGAATGGTGATGTTAAAAACCCAGGAGCTCTGACCACTACACCACCGAGGCCGGTGTATACAAAGATTAGTTAAGTTTAACAAAGTTGGTAACGCTGTGTATTTCTGTCGATTTATTAAGCCCGTATTGCCTATAGTCTGCAATGAATTGCAGCAACTTTCTTGCATGCAAGTTTTATTGCTGAATGTAAAACACATTCCAATTCCAACCGAACTGGCAATAAAATCGAGCAGGACGAAACGTCGCTATGCGCATGCCTTCGTGCAAGATTATTGCACTTAAAATTGCAGACTTTAATACGGGATTTAAACATCTATAAACCAGGGATGTTGCGAATATTCGCATCCGCAAATGCGGAGCTTCCGCATACATTTGGACATCCGCATCCGCAATAATCAATGCGGATGTTCATGCGGATGCGAATGTTATACAAGGCCACAAGAAAGAAATTGGGCGGGGCCGGCGAATAGCGCGTGCCGTTCGCAGTGAGCACGTGATCATGACCAATGGGAGCATTTGTTGTGGTGCATCATTTGTTTCTTGTAAATAAATCATTACGTGTTTGTTTTCGCTGTGGATTACTTATCGTATACTACAGTATACAGGATGTTGCGAATATTCGCATCCACATCCGCAAATGCGGAGCTTCCGCATAGATTTTCTCGGAATTAAGGTTTTATTTCTTATGACACTGTTGTCGCCCGTGTGCGATTTCTTATCTGATTAGCGGGAGGGATTGAAAATACATACAGGGAAAGAAATAGGATATTCACAGCGGGAGAAACGAATTATTAACAATTGCGAACACAATCGGCGCATTATTAACAACTCAACAAACAAGAAATTTTCGTGTTACATCGAAAAAATCGATATTTTTTTAAAAAACTAGTTTAGATGTTATGTTTTTGTATCCTAAATTAGGCTAAATTAGGCTAAAATGCATATAGAAAACAGGAGGAAATTACAGATACTAAACCTCAATAATAATTTCAAAGTGGGATCATAGACAAGGGATAGGTTGGGTGGGCGGGGGTTTTAGTGGGGTTGAGTGGGACGTGGAAAATAGATATTTTCGCGGAGCTAATCCCGAACTAATTCCGGATATCCTAGGCATGCGCTTTTTAAAATTTAAGGTTAAAAAAGTAAAGTGCACATGACAAATATTAAAATGCGCATGCCTAGGATGTCCGAACTACTTCGGGATTAGCACCGCGAAAACACCTAATAGCATGATACAAGGAAACAAGGTATGCTACTATTGAAACCAAATTTCGTCCGCCACGCGCATGTACGTCACGTTCGTCAATCTAAACTAGATATTTCAAAAGCTGATGCATTGTTATTATTATTTTATAAACATAGAGCAGAGAGTAATATTGTAATATATGTAAGTGTAAGATATTTAAATTTATTATTTGTATTTTGTTTTTATAATTATTTAATTGTGTGGGATTAATTTACAATGCCAAACTGTGCTGTGGCTATGTGTACAAATTATCATAAATCTACGAAAGGTACGATTATAAAATACTTTAACTTTCCGAAGAAAAAAGTCAGCAAAAAAAGATAAAATAAATTTGAAAAAATTTGAACTAAGATTATAAGGTTATGTATAAATTAAATTTTTAAATTTAGCTTCTGGGGATTATGTCCCTCAAATTTTGAAAAATATACAGGGTGTTCCAAAGAAATCCCCCCCAACCGTTTTAACGGGTGAATGTGGACAAAATTCCTCGGACAAGTCAATTTTTAGTTCTAGGGGGACGAATTTTAATGTATGATTCATGCTCCTAACCGCTCCACCCCGCCCGCCACCAAAATCTTAAATTGGACGCTGGGTTGAGTGACATATCGTTTTAAAGGTCTTTTATTTCTTAACATTTTTATTTTCCCTCCCGTCTGCTAATTGTACCATAAAATGTAGAGCGTTACATTTTATATAAGAAACTGCAATAAGTTACTTTGATACAGTGATATAAAATTCCAAACATAAAATTATTTTTATCTACGCCAGTGAGATAAGATCTTCTTATCCCACTCATTTTGAGTGAGATAAGAAGTTCATTACCGCACGCGTTTTTCTCTGCTTTTAACCAATCAAATAAAAAAGTCAAAATGTCAAAATAACCCTAAATTAAGTCTTAGACAAAAATAATTACCGTTTATTTTTTCATTTAGAGGCGTAGATAAAAATTTGTACAATATACGTGTGATAACGCTTTATTAACGTACTTTTGCGATTGCCCAACTCGTGCTACGCACTCGTTGGGCAAATTTCGCATGCGTACGTTAATAAAGCTCTTATCCCACTTATATCGTAAATAACTATTTCCCATGTTAATTAAATGGGAAACTAAAATAAAAACAGCGACCTCTTAGAGTTGAGCTGAGACGCCCATATTTGGTGAGGATTTTTTTATGTTAAATAGAAACATTTGAGAGGGTAAGAGCGAAAAAAAAATTAAATTTTATTTTTTGAAGCACCCTAGTGTAAGCAGTTGGGGTCGATGGACTAAGTAGCAAAATTAATTTTAATTTTATATTTTGTGTTAAGTAATTTTCATTTTAGCTGAATAACCCAGTCAATTAATAAAGCAAATAAATATATGTAATAAAACTTAATAATTTTTAAGTTCATAAATATGTAATTATTTACTAGTAAAATAATTATAAATTTACCATATTTATTAAAGAGGTAAAATCCTTAAAAATAATGAAAAATATATCTTACCTAAAAATTTCATCTTTGTTGGGATGTTCTAATAAGAATGTTCCTTCCCCTGAGATGCATTTTCTTCCTGCCTCAAAAGTGAAATTGCCATTTTTAAAACCATACTTTCTTATATACCTATATGGCCAAGTATACAATACCTCCCCCAATAAATTTTTGAGTTCCAGTTCATACGGAGTTAACATTAATATGCAGTTTTCATTGGCAATTTCACATTTAACAGAAGCTTTGGTGGATAATACTTTTACACTAAAAATGCCTTCACCCGATGGGCAATACAATTCATTGTCTTCTTCAATGGTTGTGATTTTTGATGAGTCATCTGGAAATGCAACGTATTGAATTTGTTTAATCCAACTGGATTTGTCTTCTTGAGTCATGGCATCAAATTCATAGGTTTCAGTTTTAGTAAATATTTTGAAAAAACATTGACCAGGAGTAACTTCTTTTATTTTAATGCAATTATTTAATGGTATAATTTTTCCCTCATCAGAACTTTTTTGGTTTTCATACATTTCCAATCTTTCTATGCCACATTTACTGGCTTTAAAAAGTTTGCAATATCTCAGATGTGGTTTCTAAAACAATGTTGGTGTTAGTTATATAAGTATTCTTAACTAATACATTGTAATATGTTATTGTCATCTTGTTTCAATTTTTTCTTTACTACAATGTTGTTAATAATATATTTAGGAGCAAGGTTATGAGTCATAAGGGAAGCAAAAAAAATGTCATAACTTATGACCACATTACCACATTACAAAGTTGCAGTAATACATTACCCAACACTAAAATAATGAAAATGCCTATTTACCTTTGACTTTTTATTTGGATGAAGAATTAAGTGTCCACATATAATTGGCTCGTCTGAATCCATTTTTGCAATAATTTTATTTACACACAGCTACGGAAATTGCATTGATAATTAATGCTTATCATTTTACCATTCAAATTTATTCAAATATTTCCTTTAGCGTTATATTTTTCCTTAACTTTTGTTTATACGTAAATTTTTGTTATTCCTTTAATTTGTAGCTAAAACTAAAAATTAAATAGTTTCGTGTTTATATTATTTTCCTTGGACGTATTAACCACAGAACAAACAAACTGTATCACTTAACACATACATAACAAATCACAGAACATAACAAATATGCAACACTGATATGACTGTTTAAAACACAACCACATAACCACAAATTTTCGTAAGCACTTATGACAACTTCTCATTGACAAGGGACCAGTGTTGCCAGATATAGGTATATTACGAAAATTCTTTAAACGAAAAGTCAACATTCTTCAGACAAACAAGAGGAATTTTGACTTATCACTTACGTCAAATATAACTGCAGTGAGATTTTCAGTGCATTACTGATTAATCATTATTGTACCTATTTAAACTACTCCCACCTTTAAAACTAGCATCTAATTGTCGGCCGCGGACTTTTGTGCCGCCCAATGAAAATTCTTTGGAAGGTCACGTGAAGTTTGTTTGGTTAGTAACATAACCTAGCACAAATTTTAGATTATTGGATTCGGTGTATTTTAAAATGTTTTTTTGTAAACATTGTAAAAACGACTTTAGTTCTAAGTCCTCGCTTAACAGACACAACAAAAATATTCATCCTGAAGAAGAACTTCCCGTAAGGAAAAAATTTCGGTGTGGTGATAGTGACTGTGATAAACAATTTAATAATAAACAGAGCCTTTTACGGCATGAAAAGATTCATAATATTCGAAATGTTAAAATAAACTGGACAATTTATAAATGCCCTTTGTGCGGCTATCAAGGACTTCAAAAGCACATTATGGTAAGCCACCTGGAAAAGACCCACCTAATGGAAATAAAGTCACAATCAATAAATGTCACATCAGAAGAAGAATTCTATGAGTGGCTTACCAAAATTGAAACTTCAAGCCATACAAAATTTGTAGCTACAGGAGGAAAGCATAAAGACAGTTTAACTAAAAGCCAAACCTTTGCTTGTCATAGAGCAAATAAAATATACTATCCCAAAGCCGACAGGAAAAGAGAAATTAAGTTAAAGGGCTCCTGCAAAATGAACACATTTTGTCCTGCACAAATATCATATAAGGTAAACTCATAAATTCCAACCACATTTAATATTTTTTATTCTAAAATTAAATATTAGTGGGTCCTTATCTTATTTACTGTGCTACTGCACCCTCAAAATTACCTAAATTAGAATTACTTTTTATGTTTTTAGGAAGAAAATGGAATTTTTAAAGTTCAATATGTTGATGTTCATACACATGAAATTGAGTTAGAACATCTGAGACTTACCCATTCTGAACGTTGTATTATGGGCAGAAAAATAGCTGAAGGAATATCATTTACAAAAATTCTAGATGATGTCAGGGAGTCTTTTTATAAAGGTAGTTCAGAAATTTTAATTTCATCAAGTACAATTTTATAATTTTTGCTTAATCTTGTGAGATATAATTCAAGGTATATCTTGTTTCAGGAGATGAGCTAGAGAGAATACATTTGACTACAAGAAAAGATTTATGTAACATTGAACAAAGCTTTAAACTAAAAGGAGAAAAGCGACATGAAAATGATTGCGTTAGTGTTGAGACCTGGATTAAAGAGGATCTAGAAACTAGTCCAAATCCTTCTGTTTTATTTTACAAGGCTCAGGGAGAAATCATTTCTGAATATGCTACACTCTCTAAAGATGATTTTGTTTTAATTATAATGAACACAGCGCAGAATGAAATTTTGAAAACTTATGGGAATGACACTTGGTGTATTGATAGTACATTTGGCCTTAATCAATACGATTTTCAGTTGGTAACTCTTATGGTACTTGATGATTTGAGACAGGGATTTCCATGCGCTTTTATGATTTCCAATAGGTGTGACTCTCTGACATCAAAAATTTTTTTCCAAAAAGTCAAGGAGAGACTGGAAACATCTGTTGTTCCTCAAAATTTTATGTCTGACATGGACGAATGCTTTTTTAATGGATATATGTCTGTTATGCCACCACCCAAAAGAAAGCTTTATTGTTCATGGCACGTGTACAGAGCATGGAGGAAAAATCTAAATAAAATTGGTTCAAGAGAGAAACAAGGAGAAGTGTACAAAATGTTAAGGTGAGAAATGTAAAAAAATATATAGACATTTTTGGAGGATCGTTGTTCAAAGATTCACAATTTATTATTTTCTTACCAAACAATTGCAAAATTTCTGGTAATGTATGAATAGAACAATTGACCAAGGCTTTTTTATATTAGAATTGTTTACTCTCTATTCTGTACAAAAAAACTTAAAACTTGCTGCTTTATTAAATTATATAGTGCTTTTTTTACCTCGTCATTATCTGTTTTAGAACCCTTCTTGAGGAAACTGATGAAGAAACTTTCAATAAATTGTTAATTCAAGCTAAATCATATTTGCTAAGCAACATTGAAACAAAAGAATTTGGAAGATATTTTTTTCAAAATTATATGCACAATACAAAGTCCTGGGCATACTGCTATCGCACATATAGTGGCGTTAATACAAATATGCACTTAGAACGGATGCATCGTACCATTAAACAAATTTACTGTGGTGGAAAGAAGGTAAAACGCCTCGATTCTATGCTGTTTATATTACAAAAATTCATTCGGGACCGTCTATTTGATCAGTTGATATCACGACACAAAGGAAAAATCTCAAGTAAGATCAAAGATATCCGAAAAAGGCACAAAGCAAGTCTTATCTGCAAATCAGAAATTGTTGAAGATGACACAGGATGGTTGTGTTCCAGCTCTCACAGTAAACAAATGTACGTTATCCATAAAAACTTTACTAATTGTAATAATTGCACTTTAAAGTGTAATGAATGTGGATATTGCATACATGATTTTATTTGCACATGTATTGACAATGCTGTTGGTTGGAATATGTGCAAACACATACATTTATTAATAATGTCAGAAGGCCTAAATGTAATTGATTTGAATCAAAATAATGTCATAACAGAAGAAGAGAATGGAAATTATGGAGAGGATGATATAAATTTGGAATCTGTAATTGTATCCCAATTATCAAAGAAAGAAAAACTGATAGACTTTGAAAAAGAGAAAAATGATGTTGTCAATATTTTTAATGCAATGATAAATAAGGCCAATAAACTTGAAAACTTGGAATTCATTAAAAAAAAGCTAATTGAAACATCTAAAACTCTTAATGTTCTAGAAGAATACGAAACCAAGGAAACAGTGTTGAAAAATAAGAATCTGGAAGAAGAAATAAAGTGTTCAAGGGAACCTTCCAACAAAAAAATGGAATGTCAAAAACGGTTTTATTCTAAAAAGAAGAAAAGCAAGAAGTTGGAAATTAAAAAACCTGATGAGGAGGAGAAACTAAAAATATCACTGTCCTTACTTTTATAACTATTTTTTACCTTATATTTCATATGTATGTACCTACATTTTCTAATATTCCTCATGAATAATGTCTGTAAAACCAAACTTTAAAATTAAAAAATAGATAGAAACACGCATTTCGTTTATCTTAAAATAATAAAGCTTTTTAAAAAGTATGGAAGTCTATAATTTGAAATGAGAATTACACATGCAGTGTCATATAATGACATATTTTGCTGATTGGTTTTCTCTTTTCTGGGATTTTAACTACTGTAAATTATGTCAGTGTTAGCTCAAAAAATAAAAATTTAGCTTGTGTTAGGCAATGGAAAATTTATTTTCCTTCTGCAGATTTTTTATGTATATATTACATGTACATATTAACATATAGGTACTATAACAATTTAATAGTAAAATACCAAAGCTATAAGGATTGCACGTACTTTAAGGGTTGAAATAAGGTCGCGATCTTGCAAAAAAATACTCGGTTGCTGATGCAGTTTCTCACTTATGGCAATCGACAGAATGAACTTTGATTTCGTTGGGAATCTGAAAAAAAATTCCCATATGCCTAGCACACGTCCGGTCGCTAGATTTTCATGTTTTGAGCTCAATACCGACGTAATTTTCAGTGGTTAAAATAAAATCCCATAAACGAGAAAATCAGTCAACAAAATCTGTAATTATCTGAAGGTCCATTATTGCTGATTGCCGTTATTCTTCTAAGTTCGCAACAGTTACTTAATCGTATATCTTAGATCGGAGGCAAATAATAACATTTGAATTTGCCGCCATATGAGCGGCCGCTTTATTGGTCGGTACAAAAGTCCGCGGCCGACATTTAGCCGCTTGTCCTTTAAAACGCCCTTTATCGTAGGTACATGTTTCCATAAATACACATTGACAAGTTGTGGCTTTACGGCGCTTTAGTCACGGGTTGAAGTTAGGAACAGGTTTTTAGTCACGGGCTGAAGTTAGTTTTAAGTTTTTGACAGTTGTCAAATGTCATACAATCGTTAAAATAAAGTGCCTTTCCTGTAAAATAATACTAAATGTGAAAATTATTTTATTATCTCAATACAAAAATATTAAATAGTTTCTCAACGCCAATATTTGAAAAGTTTATATGAACATTGTACTGACCTTTTAATTTCGCCGGCAGTAAACTATAACTTAAATTCGGGCACGAACTCTACTGTAAAGTCCTCATAAAACATTTCCTTTACTTTCACTGTGAAAAACTGTCAATTTTCAGGATACATTTCGATTTATAACCTTTATAATTGTGTTTATAAAATGTAAAAATGTGACATTTGACAGTTTCCCCTGTTGTTTCATAGATGGCGCTCTATACAAATTTTTGATTTAAATCCTTTTAAAATAATAATAAGTATTTGTCGTAGAAAAAGTAAAGTATGCACCTCGTTTATAAACTTTTCTATACACTCATTAACTTAAGCACTCGCTCGCAAGCTCGCTCGTGTCTAAATTAAATTCATGTATAAAATGGCGTTTATCAAACTTGATAGGTACATAATATACTATTTTCTACTCCCACCTTTAAAACGGCCATTATCGTACATATTTACATGACACTCGGGCATGTTTTCATGACACATGAGTCGTTAACGCAGTGTTGCCTGCCAACCCTAGGGTTGGCAGGCAACACTGCGGTAGAATTTTTCAGAATCGGCAGAATTTTTCAGAAATCGGTAGAATTTTTCAGAAATCGGCAGATCTACCGAAAATTCGGTAGCTACCATACATATTATAGGTATATGGTAGCTACCGAATTTTCGGTAGATCTGCCGATTTCTGAAAAATTCTACCGATCTATCGATAGACAT